TGCAAAATTTCTTGAGCAGCAGCGCCACAAAGTACCTGCGTAACACTAAGTCATATTTGACAATGACATTTTGTACTCGCAAAAGTTACGAATTCGATATTGGTTCGTGAATGACTAATAATTAAGATAGGCTTTTGTCTTTTAGGCTTGTTGAAAATATATCGATGTATCGATATATCGATATTTTTTGTTCGATATATCGATATTTTTTGCCGATATATTTTGATTCGATATATCGATACATCGATACAAAATAACCTATATCGAAATTCGTATCAAAAACGATATTTTTTTAATTATTAGCGGCATATCACGATCTAACTAAATTTGTATCTGGAAAAATCGTAACTGGATCTCAGATAAATGATATTCAACATATCTATGATCTGTGCTGTATTTAGTATTGTCTATTATTTGTAAATCTGTTTCGCTGGTGAATTGGTTGTGCTGCTTTCCATTATATTCTGTGGAAGTGTGTGCCTGTCTAGTCTTGTTTACGAAAGATGGCAGCTGAGAGGCCCTGCAATCATTTTCATCATTCGGAAATAGGGTCTATTTTTAGATAATTTTCGTTCCATTATTATTCCGCATGTCATATTTCGTGAGATACTGTACTGCCATGTAGTGTAGCGGCAATTTGGTACTTTGATAATTCTTTCTTTAATTATAATCTGTATTGAACTATTATTACTGTGTTAGGCTGACCTAAATATATTTTTGGGAAAATTGGTCCGATATATCGATATATCGATGTTTTTTTCGCGATATATCGAAGCCGATATTGATATTTTTTAAAATATCGATGTATCGATATATCGATATTTTTTTCAACTTTCGACATCCCTATTGTCTTTTTATTAGTATAGGGCAATATCCCAGGGCAAGCTGGGATTTTAGGATTTACTCGAACGCGGCAGAATAACGTAAGGGAGGCATCCTTTCACTTTGTGATTTACTCCCACCATATCTGACTATATATGCGTGCCCTTTCGAGAGGCCACAGTGGAAAATGTACGTAATATAAATAAAAGTTTAGTGGGACCGTTAAAAAAATGTAGCCAGAAGAATAACTTTGTAGCTGTTGTAAGTCGAACTTCAACAGTCTTTCATAGTATCTTATCATACGGCATTATACACATACTTTGGGGAACATTAGCTGATATTGAAAGCATATTCATTCTACAAGAGAAGAAGAGAGGCATTTTGAGTGTCCGTGATGCTAGCGTACCCACGATCAATATACGGTTTTTCGTTATGCCATTAAATACTGCGTAAATAGTGCCAAATTAGTGTACAAATTAGTGAGTGCCAGGGCACTATTTGCGAACTATTTTTGTGTGTCAATTTCGTTGCTTAAATGCCGTTCTTGGGGTCGGCCATGGGTACGCAAGCTTGACGTCATGGTAGCGTACACAGTAAAAATGGTCTTTATTTCTTAAATTAAAGAGGCACTATTTTTTTTATTTTTACACTAATTTGGCACTATTTCCGCACTATTTAATGGCATAACGAAAAACCGTATATTGATCGTGGGTACGCTAGCATCACGGACACGCATTTTGACTGTTGCTTCTCAATTCATTTACAATTGTATACTCCTCGTTAAAAATAATATCAATTTGTATACCAAACACAGTAACGTGCACAATTTTAACACAAGGAATAGAAACAAGCTTGCATTGCCACCCTACAGGTTACAGAAGGTTTACCGATCTTTTATGGGTCAAGGTATACATTTTTATAATAAAATTCCTGATGCTATTCTTGAGTTACCCATAAATGAGTTCAAATGTCACATTAAAAGTTGTTTAAGAAAGGCTATTATACTATTAAAGAATATTTGAATGACAAAACTGCATGGCTGTAACTGCAAATTTGTTTTGTATATGTTTGCAGTGTCGTACAGATAAATTACCTTAATTCTAAGTAACTATTTTGCAGTTTGGTTTCAGTGGTTATGAGTAGTCATGCTCTCTTTAAAATCTCTTATGCGGCGGTGTCGTGTGAGGCGGGTCGTTGCGTTCCCTAAAATATGGTTGAGCGAAGCGATGGCTGGTTCATGCGTCAAGCTCGTGAACGGGTGCTGCCAGCGGAGATGAGTCTACTCTATACTACTTTATTATTGTAATGATAAATTAATGATTTAATTTAGTTTGTATTTTACAATACACAATTTGTATTTATAAAACTTAAGTTTTTTTTACTGAGGTCACACCAAAGAGGATATTATCACTACCTGGTCAAACTCTATTACCAATTCGATGTTTTTTAAAACATCGATGCATCGAGTTTATTTATAAACTTTTCAAAACATCGGATCGATTCCATGTTTTTCATTGCAAACATCGATGTTTTCGATGCATCGATCATCCCTCATCGAATATCCCTAGCAAGAGCTAGGGATATTCGATGAGGGCAAGAGCCCTTACTGAGTTTCTTGCCGGTTCTTCTCAGTACAAGGTCTCCGGCCGTAGATTTGCGAACCGATGGCGTAGCTTTTCGACATTCACAAGTGCTTGTAACAGCCTAGAATGAATAAAGGATATTGATTTTTGAACGCTACGACTCACCGCATGTGGGCTCTCTGACAAAACGCCTCAATTTTCATATTACTGTATCTAACCAATTTAAATAATTTTGATGAATGTTAATATTTAGAAGGTACTTAGTGACTACATATAAAGTTGGTACATAATCCAATCAGTTGGTGTTAGATCTTACGTATTCAAAATTTACTTTACAGCTACAAAATTGTAATAAAAGCTAAGTTTCTTTGGCAAGCTTTAAAAATTTGCAGAAGTAGTTAAAATGCAACCCTGTGAATACAAGGTTAATATATTCTACCAGCTAAAATTTTTGTAGTCCTACAAATAACCCTCTTAATTTACCATTCATCAGATTTTTTTAGATTGGTCAGAGATACAGTAATATGAAAATTGAGGTGTTTCGTCCGAGAGCCCACATTCAGTGAGTCGTAGCTCATCGACTAACAATAGCTACAATTTTATCTTTCTGGTTACACTTTGTAAAAGTTTATGTATACATATAACTGGTAACACTTTATAAAAGTTTAACTCCACTGTGGCCTGTGGAGGACTTTTGGTGGGTCCAAAATTTACAGTCTTTTGAATAGGAGCTACTGGAGGGTTGAAGTCCCCTTCTGACGCGCTTGATTTTTTTCCCCCTTTTTTCTGCCACGTACGCCCACCATGCAAACCGGCAGATTAATATTGTTCTGTCATCAGAAACATTACGTGAACCTATTTAAAACGCACACGATTTGGATACAACCAAAAGTCATAGCCGTTTGTTGATTATTTTTTTTGTTTTCCTAGATATTCAACCCTATAAAAAGGGACCATATCTGAGCCCTTTATATAGGGAACTCCACAAGGTGCAAGGTTGTCCCCATATGTTTTTTTGCCGTGCTCGAGTAAATCCCAAAATCCCCGCTTGAGCTCTCCTACTATATTCTGATGTAGATACTTGTTGCTTTCTTTTTCAGATTTGATGGATAACTTCAAAATATTTTTGAAGTTATACTTCTTTAGGCGCGTTATGAAAAAATGATGAGAGTGAAATTTTAAAATGCGCGCGCAACTTCATGTTGTTACTTTTGTGTTTACCGCACATTAATAAAATCTACCAACAAAATAGAAATAGAATCTCTATTTTGTGGGTGCTAACGACTGCATCGTGAAGGCCTATCAAAAGTATTTATTAATCTGGAACAACGGAACCAAAGCGCGATTCAGGAGACTACAGCGCCATCTCTTGACCATTGGTGTAGTAGAACCAAAAACCACATCTTTATTTTTGAAGTTATACTTCTTTAGGCGCGTTATGAAAATATGATGAGAGTGAAATTTTAAGATGCGCGCGCATCACTGTAACACAAAATTTTAACAACTTTTGTGTTTACCGCACATTAAGAAAATCTACCACCAAAATAGAAATAGAATCTCTATTTAGTGGGTGCTAACGACTGTATTGTGAAGGCCTATCAAAAGTATTTAATAATCTGGAACAACGGAACCAAAGCGCGATTCAGGAGACTACAGCGCCATCTCTTGACCATTGGTGTAGTAGAACCAAAAACCACATCTTTATTTTTTGTAATAAAGTAACAGTTATAGGTATTCATATTTATAATATCAAAAGTATTTATTAATCTGGAACAACGGAACCACAGCGCGATTCAGGAGACTACAGCGCCATCTCTTGACCATTGGTGTAGTAGAACCAAAAACAACATCTTTATTTTTTGTAATAAAGTAACAGTTATAGGTATTCATATTTATAATATTTATCCACATATTTCTAGTTTGTATATTCGGAATACGTGTTTGAGTTTCATACAAGTGCAAATCACATATGTTCTAATAAATTATATTCAGTAGCGATTTTAATTGAATATTTTGATTATTTATTTATTTTTTCAAATTAAAACTGAACTTTATTGACTGTGTCCTTTTCCAGACTTTTTATTAATTTATTGTAATTAATTATTTGCGTGCAATTAAAAACTAATTTTAAACGATGCCAAAGAAGGATAACTTCTCACGCGCCTACATAAGTACACGCACCCATTTTTTTTGTAATAAAGAACAGTTATAGGTATTCATATTTATAATATTTTATCCACATGTTTCTAGTTTGTATATTCGGAACACGTGTTTGAGTTTCATACAAGTGCAAATCACATATGTTCTAATAAATTATATTCAGTAGCGATTTTAATTGAATATTTTGATTATTTATTTATTTTTTCAAATTAAAACTGAACTTTATTGACTGTGTCCTTTTCCAGACTTTTTATTAATTTATTGTAATTATTTATTTGCATGCAATTAAAAACTAATTTTAAACGATGCCAGAGAAGGATAACTTCTAACGCGCCTACATAAGTACACGCACCCATTTTTTTTTATTAAATCGACAACCCCCTAATTTTTATACCCACACGGGATAACCACACAAACAAAGAGCACGTGTATAAATTATCATCATCATCATCATCAGCCTATTAATGTCCCCACTGCTGGGGCACAGGCCTTCCCTATGGATGGCATAGAGAGATTGGGCCATGACCCACCACGCGGGCCCAGTGCGGATTGGTGGGTGCTAACGACTGCAAATGCAACCGGGACCAACGGCTTAACGTACCTTCCGAAGCACGGAGGAGCTCGAGATAGTAAATTTTTGGTCACCCATCCAATGACCGACCACTGCGAAAGTTGCTTAACTTCAACGATCGCAGCCGAACGCGCTAGCCACCTGCGCCATCGAGCTCCTCGTATAAATTATAAGGTTAGCATAAATTAAAAATATTAACCACAAACGATACATCTGTTAAACAGTTTCTTTGTTATTACTGTGGCGTTAATTAACACAATACATTCATTTATTTTTAAGATGAATTCTATTTATACCTACTGTTTTCACCAATATGATGTCACGTCGTGATGAAATATCATTGTGATTTAAGTGATCCCGTGTCTAATATGTGTGTGTGTGTGTGTTGTTTAACCAGCACTCCCGATAACTATGAACCGGTTACAACTAGCGCGTGTGACCCGCCGTATGGCTCACTTGGACACTGCGATTACGGGACAGACGGACACTGCAAATTTGTACAAATAGTATATATATAAACTGCGTAAATAACCCAGTTACGTGAATCGGTGTTGGTAATTACAGGCCAGACACAGGTTACCCAAAACTTGTATATTATCGAGAAAATTCGACAGTTATTGTGATAATTTAATTTGTGGCTATCTGTGTCTGTCTACCAATGTCTAACGAAAAAATGCAATGCTTGATGCGTTGCTATATTCGTAGGTATACATTACCAAATGAAAACAACTTTAAATCTGAAGACTTCATCCACTCGGTCCAGGTTTCAGATAGGATTCACCGCGGATTCAGGGCTTTTAAAACGTATTTTGGTCGAAGCATCCAAGTTTGTCTTAAATTTTATGAAAAAAAAAAAGAAGTCGCAGGGTGCGAGGTCCGCTGTAAGGCAGATGCACCATCAAGTCCACATCAGAAGCCTTCAAATAAGCTTCCGTTACCTTAGGGGATCGTGAGGATATCGTGCGTGGTAAAGAACGACTTTTCTACCACTACTTGGACATTTCTTACCTTTCGTCGGCAAAAATACAAAAGCGATGACCCACTCTGCCGACTTGCTTTTTCGTTCAGGTTCTATATGACAATACACCTAGGTTTCGTTACCTGTCACGCTATTATAGACTGCCAATGACTGTCCTGAGTTAAACTTTTTTTTCATATTACGACACCACTGAACACACATTTGTTTCTAATACTCCGTCATGTTATACCCACAGAGTGCAAAGCTTCTGAGTGCAAAAATGTTTTGCACTTGCCTCATTCTAATGCCTAACAAAGTACGAATTTGCTGACAAATATTTTGTGTCAGTTTCAATAACTATTTGTACGGTGTCATCATTTATTAGATTCTGTAACCGCAGTCGCCGGCCGCCCTTCACGTATCTCGCCAAGGAAATAACCACGTCCACGTCTAAATTCTCAAACACCAAATACACAGCGAAAAATTTCTAGGCTCCCCAATCCCCATGAAAAGTTACCGCGTGCGTTTTTCGAAGCGAAGGGCTGGCTGCATCTAATGAACCGTGATTACTAGACACTTGAAATTTTCACAGATGTTGTATTACTGTTGCCGTTATAACATTAACTGAAAGAAATACCAAAAACTGAAAATACTTTTATTCGATATTATAAATGTCTAATTTTGCATAGATAATGGTACAGAGAGGAGTTCGATTGCGCATATGGTTGGCGCGTTCGCCTGCGATCGTTGATGTTAAGCAACTTTCGCAGTAGTCGGTCATTGAATTGGTGACCAAAAATCTTCTATCTCGAGTTTCTCCGTGCTCCGAAAGGCACGTTAAGCCGTTGGTCCCGGCTACATCTGCAGTCGTTAGCACGCGCCAATCCGCACTGGGCCCGCGTGGTGGGTCATGGCCCAATCTCCCTATTCTATCCATAGAGAAGGCCTGTGCCCCAGCAGTGAGAACATTATTAAGCTGATGATGATGATGAATGGTACGGAACCCTTGGTGCGCGAGTCCGACTCGCACTTTGCCGGTTTTTATTTATATAGAAGATGTGAAACCTTGTATGTAGGAATTATGAATGTTTACTCAATCAAGAAAATTACTGAACAGGTTTGGATTAAATTTGGCACACATATAGTTTATTACCTGGATTGAGACATATAATACTTTTTATCTTGGAAAAATATTGGTTCCTGTGCGATTCTCAAAATACTTACTGTACCTACCGCAAACGAAATTGCGGGCAGGAGCTAGTATAAAATAATTTGAATATTACTTTCCTTGTATAATCTTGATTAAGCCTAAAGATTACAAATGTTATCAACATCATAGATGTCGGACGATTAAGCGATATTTAACATGGCGGTTACTTCAATGTTGCATTACATTAAATCATCTCGATTGATCCACAATTACAACTGTAATAAATAGGCAAGTACAATGTATTCCACCGAGAAGCAAATAATAAAATTAATCATAGGTGTTTAACAAAACGTGGCACATAATTCTTTGTGAGACATCATTAACTTAATTGTTGATAGCGAGAACTAACTGAGACAACAACAGCGGTGATAAGCGAACCGGTTTGTACCGGCGCGCGCTACGGCCGCAGGGGGCCGCGTAGACGGTAACACATGCGCGAGCGCACACACTCACATAACCGCTGATAAGCGCTGATAACACTACGACTAAAGTTTACTTACACAAGAATTACTTGACGTACAAATTTGCACAATATTTGCGAATATTTTAAAAATAAAACTCATAATGTACCTAGCAGCGCCGAGTGAAGTTATAGCAATAGCAAACAACATTAAATAGTTAAAGCTTTTTTAATATTTACACTGCTTCGATAAGAGTATAAAATTTGTTTTTCAATTTTACTAAACCGGTTCTTTCTTTACTTTTACGCAAATAGAATGATGCGTAGTTATGCTTGTCAAAATGATAAGAGAAAAAACCTCAGATGCGCTGCCTCACTGTAAGGTGTTAAATGCTTTTCGCATATTATTCGCATAATCATTTCAGAAAATTACAATCTCACCAATATTACATTACTGCGCAGATATTTAGTCATGTAAGTAAACGCTTATCATACGCCTTATCTAGTCTCGATCCGTAAAGGGATCCCGATACCAACACGTGTAATCAGATGACGAAGCGTCTACCGTGCCATTCATGCATGTCTGCTAAGTTCCAATCGATGTCAGAACAAAGTATGTTTCGTCTTTTGAAATTTTCCACGTCTCTAGAACTATTAAATTTTTCCGACGAATAAGATCATAAAGAGTATGATGATCAGAGTTTGATGTAAATTCTTCTTTTATCTTAATCTTGTAACGGTGATGGAAGGGCGGTGCCTCCTGCTACAGGTATCGCTATACTTAAAAAGAGTGCACCAACAATGTTATTAGATAATAAAAGGTTAAGTTAAAGAGAATAAACATATTTTATTATTTTTTATGGTCGTTTGCACCAAAGTCTTCACCAAGATCTTACCTACCTCGCAAGTTACCTAAGTGAGTCCTAAATTAGAATCAATAGGAACTAAATAAGAGTGGGTGTACCAAAGAGGAGGGATGGCTAAGAAGAAAAATATTTCCTTCCGTTTAACATTGTGTATTGCTATTTGTGGTTCTTACTAAGGCTCTTAGTGTACTAAGTTAGCACCTTTCGCTACTATACTTCCCTTATCATTTATAAAAAAACACAGTTATAACTTATGAGTTATAACTGTGTTTACTTTAACAACGGGCAGGGTTATGACCCTGCCCGTTGTTAAAGTCGAAAGTTGAAAAGCGACCGACGACAGTTTCTTTTAAACAAACCGTGCAAATTAGGTACCCCACCATGCTTGAACTGAAGTGTAAGTGGAATTCAGATATGAAGTAGTTGATGCGGCAGAAAGATGTCCCGCAAGCAGCCATCTCCCCCTTGCGGGAGTGAACTCCATTCGCCACAATTCGTGGAGCTCTGGAACCTTTACTCACTAACAGAAACACAACACGACCAAGAGGTAGTGCTAGTGTTATTTTACTATGGTTTTCTGTAAGTTGGAGGTTGCTTTACCAGACAAGCGATGCAATTGTAGCGCTTTCTCTATTTGGGAAGTCGATATAATAACAAAAGATATTTCTTTGCTTGGTGTACTATCTCTATGATTTCAGTGTTCATATTCCATGACCAAATTTATAAATTATTCCGTTATGTGAACCAGTAAGTGGTTGGTCTGCACTGACGCGTATATCAGTCACCTATTGAACCGCAGACTATCGTACCGGTAATAACTGGACGGCAGCCACGGCAGGCAGCTCAGATAATGCTTCCACACACGTCGCATGACCAGATACATGCCCGTAGTGGCATTCACACACTACAATCAATTTAGAACCTTAACGACATAAATTATCAATTTCAAAAAGACACCATAATATACATAAAAACGAAGACCGAGTCAAGCTTAGTTGTAATAGCTAATATATTTTTAATTACTTTTAAAGAGTCGAACATAAAACAGCCTTTTAGTTCGCGGGGGACTAAAGCGCTTATCAGCGCTTGCGTTGTCAGTCTGAGACGTTTTATAAGTAAGCGAGTCGAGCGGCCGCGCTCACTGTTCACAGCGACCTCGCAGTGACCACTACAAGTACAGTAAAAATCTTAACAATTTGTTAGTGAAAGAAAATAATGATAGTATTTCCGCATTGGAGGCCTGATGTGGCCAGTGACGGTTGCAGAGTGCAGCGGTGGATGCCGGCTGAGCATTTCGGATCTTATATAGCGAGACCTGTCGCCGTACAGCAACTACCACCGCCACTGGTATGTTTCATAAAAGAAACCCTAGTGTGTTTTAGGTCAAATATTCTCCGGCAATTTCGGATATCACTTTGAATATTTTGAATTTACGTTTATTTTTCTTTTTAATAGCCAGAAGATGAGGATTCTTCGGGAGGTTCGTCGCCTGAGCGCAATAGTGAGTGTTTGGATGGAGGCACGAACGTATGTGAGTGGCGCGGCTGCGGCTCGCGCTACCCGAGCATCGCTCGACTGTCGGCGCACGTCGCGCGGGCACACGCGCACGCACATACGGACGGACACTTCTACTGCGGCTGGAAAAATTGCCGTAGACCGCAAAGAGGATTCAATGCCAGGTTGGTATTTAAATCCTTTCCTTTATCCATTAAAACATGTTTAATTTTCGTTATATTCGAGATAAGCAAAATATATAATTACGCACCGAGGGTAATCTCAGTGCTGATTGTAAAAGGTATTTTACGAAACCAGAAGAAATCCGAACTGGTGAATGTTTGTCCACCCATCCAATGACAGGAAAATTTAAAAATTTACTCAAGTTATAATATTCTGATAATATATATTTTTCAACAGATATAAAATGCTGGTTCACGTACGAACTCACACCAACGAGCGACCACACACATGCAACCAGTGCAGTAAAAGCTTTTCAAGAGCAGAAAACTTGAAGATTCACCTTAGATCACATTCTGGAGAGAAACCTTATGTTTGTCCTTATGAGGTAGGTAATTGTTTTTAGTCTTTTTTTAACATACTTACATAACTTATTAAATAACTCCACTCAATTGTTAAAGTACATACCCAGTATATTGAACTAAGGCCTGGGTGGTCAAGTCACCACCATTATACTTATCTGATTTCATAAATATGAATGCTTATTAATTATATTGTTTACAAAAAACATCTACATTTATTCGATAACTATTAATGAACCTTTTTAATCTTTGCCAGGGTTGCGGAAAGGCGTATTCCAATTCCAGTGATCGTTTCAAACACACCAGAACACACACAGTGGACAAACCCTATTTCTGCAAAGTTCCCGGTTGCAACAAGCGGTACACAGACCCATCCAGCCTTAGAAAACACGTCAAGACAAACAAACACTTCACAAAGGAGGAAGACGTACGGCGAGAGTCGTCAGATGAAATCCAAAGTCCAGAAGTCGCTATATCTTCACCCACAAACGATACCAACCCTTGTCACACAGTGATAAAGCCCTCTTCGCCATATCACATGCATTCGCCCATACAAATGCATTACAGTCCTGTAAGAACATCTTCACCGACAATGGCTTACAGCCCAGCTTTACCTTTAAGGGAACCAAGCATGAGCTATCCTCTAGTCAACCCAGTTACCTACATAGAACCAATGTACCCAGTCAGAGTGCCATCACATGAGATGTCTTACATTGAATACACGCATATGTACGAGCACGCATACAGGAGTTACTATTCAAACTCCATCGGCTATCCTGTTCTACCTCAGAGGATCAACGAAAAAGTTTATAAATATGACATTACTACGCAATATGACGAAGTCGAAATGGAGGAACACAGAGAGAACGACAGATATGATATTGTTCCCGAAGAGGAGATGCCCTTAAACTTAATTTGCACCAAGCAAAGAATAGAGTGCAAACCCATCGAACAACTAGTCAAGCGAACAGACTTGCCATTAGACTTAAGTACAAAGAGTTAAAATAAGTATTATACATTTAAGTAAATTATTTAAACACTTATTTATGCCTTTTGTTTTACTATTCCTATTTAACTTTACGATAAACTACATAAAGGAACATTATTATGCATAATAGAAAAAATAAATAAATATACAATTTGATAACTCATGAATATCACACATGCTACAGTAATGATGTTTCATTTCTTTATCTCTTTATCTTGAGTCACGATGAAACAACTCAAAACGATTTTTGATGAAATTTGGTACAGAGATAGATCATAATGTTAAAGACCCCTAAATAGATTATGTATATCACGGGATAGGTTCCCCTGGCGTTCTGGAATCCAAAGAAACGGAGTTAAAAAGGCAAGAGTTCAGTTTACATAATACGAATACCTTGCTAAGTAAAATTAAGGTATACTGTATTTCAAATTGTTACTACCAACAAAGCCCTGTAGTACATTTCATATGGACATAGATAGCAGCGTGTCATCTATATCCCGTTGAGGTTTTTCAAATTATATCCACTATTAATCGCATTACTGTTCGGTATACAGCACATTGAAGTTTAATCAAATTACATCCATTATTTATTGCTTATTGGTGGCCACAATGTGTTATTATTAAATACCGCATAAATATTTGCTATCAAAATTTGAACTTTATGTCAAACACGTTAGTCTCAAATAGTACATCAAATTTAATTGTCACTTGCTTAATTGAATACTGTACCCTTAACACGAAACAATATAGAATGGGAATAGTTTGCGAGTGCGCAATGTCATTGTCAAATTTTGTATGGAACTTACTACTACTTAAATGCGACACATAAAGTATAGACAGTCACACAGTTCTGATTCCTACGAGTATATAAAAGTAAAAGTTAGTTGGAGTAATATGTCAATTTTAGGTAATTTGACCTGTGGATGGCTGTACAGCCACATTTATGTGTTACACTACAGGAAAGGTACGAACAAATCTGCACTATAGGCTTGTGTTGGCACCATATTAAGTTTATATATTTGCGTATTTTTTGCAGTTAGGTGTTGGAGACGCATGCAGATATCGCTGATATGTACACGTAAAGCTTTTGAGTGTATGACTTAAGTACTAATTGCTCATTAAAAGAGCGTTGTGTATATTTCACTCTATCTATACGTATAATAAGGCATTGCTTTAGACGTAATTAAAATAAGCATTACATAGTGTTATATAAATAGGAAATATTTATAGCCTTCTTCTTTTATCGTCATTTACTTGAACCAAAAGATAGGAGATAAAAAAACCGGCCAAGTTCGTGTCGTGCCACGCGCAGTGTAGGATTCCGTAGATGGGTCTTTACCACATTATACTTGAGCAAAAGTCTTTATTTTCTGTATTGGAAATTAAAAAATCAAATTTTAAATAGTTCTTTTTTATTTGTTTTTAATGCAAGGTTTTATACTACAATGCCTTCATCTATGTCACTATTAATGTTTTTTTCTAAGGAATTTTCAATAGGTAAGAAATTTTCTTTAACCAAAGTTGAACGACTGTTACTCTTAAAGTAACAAATATATCTTAACCGTTATTATTTTCCTTAAAAGCTTATGAAAAGCACAAATATTGTGAATTTTTCCAGATTTTTCAAGCCAATAGTTTACCTTTTAGAGGGCGGAGACGCCCTACTCGAACAAAAATTAGCATTTTAAAGTTCAATATTTCGCAAAAGGATCCCTAAATCGAAAAGTAGTCTTAGGAACCCTTTATTAATTTTAAAGGGCCTATTCCACGAAACCCAACACGATGGGGTATACGATGAAAAAAAAACATCCCCAGATTTCATGAAAATACCCTTAAAAAAAAAATTATTCACAATTTTATTCCAATTTTTTGTCGGCGTGATTGATATACATATCTCCGCAAATTTACAGCTCTCTAGTGCCAACAGTCTCCAAGCAAAACCGGGGACGGTCAGACGGACATGACGAAACAATAAGGGTTCCTTGTCAGGACTACGGAACCCTAAAAACCACGAGTCCACGACGTAACGCAAGATATAAAAGTTAACTTGTTTAATTTTCATATACTTTTATATTATTCTAATTATTTAGTATTCCTACTTCCTTATATGGTGACCTTCGGATTTACGATTCCGTACTATGGTACAAAGTATTCTCTTACCGTATGAGTCATGGGTGTTAAGGTAAGTAACCTAATACTAAGTCAGTAACAAACCGTAAAAAAATATTGTTGTTATTGATTTAATACGCCAAATAAACCATACTTTCGTACTAAAAAATCCAATCTTATATATAAAATTATCGTGTCACGGTGTGCGAAATTGAACTCCTCCGAAGCGGCTCGACCGATTTTCGTGAAATTTTATATGCATATTCAGTAGGTCTGTGAATCGGACATCTTTTTTTCATCCCCCTAAATGTTAAGGGTGATCCACCATAATTGTTTTTAGACATGTTTTTTTGTTTTATTTTTTATGATACATCATACAATAACCCTGTCTGCGCGTCGCGCTTCGCGCTCTTGCATTGCGCAGCCGGGTAAAAATACATACAACCCTAAATTTTCATCCTTCTACCACCCATATTTTTATGGCGATACGAAGTTCGCTGGCTCAGCTAGTATAAGTATAAAATATCTTACTTCCCTTCTACCATCCTTGGTCACGCCATAACTTTGGAACGACTTTGCCGATTTTATCGATCTTTTTTTTTATTTTCGTACTTTGTAGAAGGTTCTTAAGGATCAAGAGTTGTTACGCAGAAAACTAGAAATTTCTACAAAATTTAACTTTCAACTCTATCCGATAAATGATTTGTGTTGCTGCAGCTGGGTTTTTTATATATTCTTATCGAACAGTGTTCGTACGTGAATGGCCCGTTTTAAGCATACGATAGTATTGTGTATTTTGATACAAAATAAACAAATTTAGGCTAAAAAGATATAACTTTTATTTATTCACAAAAATAATCATCATCATTACAAATTTTAACAAATCATACTGGAGTGTGGCTCCTTATTTTACCCAAATGAATTTAATACCCATTTTATTGATTTCTACAAGACTAACGATTTTGTAAATTATTCCACACATCCGTAACCGTTCTAAGTTTCTTATCTGTTAATAATTTAATGTGTCACATGTGATTGTTTTCAAACTCCTGATTTAAACTTAACCTTTGGAATCCATACTGTTACTGTAAAAAATATGTCACCATTTTCATGATTCATTAATAGCAGACTGTATCCGCCTTGTTCCGAAACGCGGACTAAAGTTATCCTTGGTTTAAACCCAATGTTGTCTCTGTCTTCTTTTTAGCAAACAAAAGTGACAGCATTAGTTTTAGTCCGCGATAACTTTAGTCTATTTATTGTAATAAGGCGGTTTGAGTCTATTACAATTTATAGTCATCAGATCACTATATCTTGTGCGATCTTTGTGCAAAGTATCTTATAATGTTATTGTTTGAATAACATTAGAGCCATCCATAAATTACATCACACGTTAAGGACCAATATTAGCAAAATGTAAGGTTAAGTGTGATTAAAAATCATAAAGTTGGTAACGACCACATGTAAATTTGAAATATTAAAACTCAACTTTATCGCAAACGCAGCAGTATCATAATACTGACAACACAATTATTATAAAAGTTTTTTTTTTCAATCGATTGGTTTAGTGTTGTTCCATAATAAACATTTATGCATACAGTTACCCTGTGCAAGCATGGAAGCGATTCTTTAGTATGAGCACCTAGTATGGTAGACAAAATTTGACTTTGCATTGAAATATTTACTTTTCAGAAAGTACAATTTATTACAAATAGGTAATAATATGCCTTTCTGTATAAAAATATACTAAAATTAAAACTATTACAAGGAGTGTGAGTGTACCGGGAGCAGCCTGCTATCTCCCTCGCACTCTTGGTGATTCTGGCGATTACGTCACGACGTTCAATGCCCCTGTTTTTAACTTCTCCTCTTCTGCATTACAAAGCTTGTCTATTGTGGGAGGATTGAAAAAAGAATACTTTGGTTTTGAAACAATATTATGTAATTAAGAAAATAAATCAAGTCGTCGACCCTATTTAAGAATGGATTCTTATTTTAAAATATAGTAAGTTTAGCATACGCTACGCCCTGACTAGCTTCGACATGCCCTCGGCGATAGTGTTGAGTGCAGCGAGATCCTTCCGCGCCGTGTCCAATAGATGCGCCATGCCGCGTTGCTGGAGAGTTAGGAACTGCTTCACGTCTTCTTGAGCACCTATTCGAGAGAATATTCATTCATTTATCTTCAATATTCGGCATTTTAACTTTCGCAGTGGTCGGTAATTGGATGGGTGACCAAAAGTTTATTATCTCGACCTCCTCCGTGCTTCGGATGGCACGTAAGCCGTTATCCCAGCTGCATCTGCAGTCCTGCATTTTACGGAATTATACACTTCAATTTAAATTTCCCGGAATCGCGGAATAGCCAACATCGCAACTTTAGGTAAATATGCATCCGATTATCCGATCCCTAGTTATAAGACATTAACACAAATAGAATTAAAATATACAGAAGAATTTACACAGTATTAATAATTCGCCCTTAGGAACAGAACTACTCCTAACAAATTGATAAAGGCGTCCAAAAGATATATATATAAATACCTGGATCCAAATAGTAGCGTTCATGCGAAGTCCCGGCACATGCGCTACGCTGCAGTCTCACAGCACACAATAATTCATTCAGGCGACCCTGGAACAAAATCATTATTATACCATCGCAGCCCAACAAGTAGACATGGAAATTCAATAAATGACATTATTCAGAAAATTTGCATGATGGGCTTGGATATCACCTTCCAAGTAGTGAATACACTTTTGTTATGATTTTTTTGTCATATTAATAACACCACTATATTTACTATATTTAGAGAAAATAGAGTTCTTCAATATTGACTCCGGTGACAGAATTAGAGAAATGAAAAAAACTGCTGTAATCATCAAACTCTTGCTACAAGATCTTAAAAACTATTTAGATCCAAGCAACATATATGTGTGACATTTATTTACTCTTAACGATAAATAAATAATTGCCTGCATTACTTAAAAGCAAACAATCTTCATTCTGGAAACACCCTATTCACAATAATTGTACTTAACGCATCAAGTAATATTGACACGCCACCACGTGGTGACTTCATTCTATAGCAATTGAGTCCACGTCCATATCACCCATGATATTACTGACTTAGATTAAATTATGTCTCCGCAGTCCGTTTGGATCAATCACTCGGGAAACATCGAATATTGATAATTATCTACCTCCTAACATAACATTGATAGAGATAGATAACACAAGGTCACCCACCAAAGGAATGATTGGTAGTCTTAATCTCACATTAAGTAATCTTAAATCAATAACTGCCTGATAATATTTATATTTCTCAGTAGAGGTAGAACGAAGTAGGTAATAATTGTGTAGAACATGACAGGCTGCCAAACTGTCACCGATGGACTGCGTTACCGCAGCTGTCGACGTTAGTACTCAAGAACATATCATCATCATGAACTACTAACGTGATTCAAAAGAAGCAGTGTTGGTGGGGTGACTCTGAGCTGAATCAGATGAACGAATGAATGAATAGTATTTTAATACACCACACTGGGAGGTGTTAATGCATCCGCCGTATAGTCCTGACCTTACCCCTTCAGATTTCCACCTGTTTCGGTCTCAGAATTCTTTACGCAGTGTCAGCTTAATAACACAAAAAGGACTGCCAAAACCACTTGTCGCGGTTTTTGATCAGAAGCCCCAAAATTTCTTTTGCAATGTTTTGGCAAGAGGAGGTCACACTCGTAATTAGATTTTTACATTTGTAACTTTATTAAATTAAAAATAAATATAAAATTGTATTTCTATAATTTTACACCAAAACGGATTATTTTAACCGAGCACGGATACATATCATGCACCTGCTTCTGCAGAACAGGTTTGAAGCGGTATATCAGATAAGAATAACACATACGCATCGCCTGATAATACACAAGCCAAGTTTGATTAAACTGCCGCCTCATTAGCACACCACATTAAGGACTAATGGGATTTTAACTGTTTTAAAAGAACCAGTGTGACACACGCCAACCGAAATGGTTACGAGTCATTAGTCTTTGGAATCATTTTGGACCACTAATGGAGTCTACCACAAAGTGGGTTTACTTTGAAAAAGAAAATGAACATCGATTTTAGCGACGAAACTGAGTATTACATTAATTCATAGGGTAGTTTTCTCAACTTTTTTAAAACAGTTTCTTGTTAATTGTATGTGTAACTATCTTGCATAAAATTTATTATCTAAAAAAAACCGATCACTGGGCTGGGTTTAAAAGTATAAGACCAAGAACACACGGAGCGGTTTTTAGCGCACCCGCCGCGGGGATCGCTGCTTTATTGCAAAATTCACGCAACCGCAGTTTTGTGCGGAGCCGCCGCATTGCTTGTGGCATCAGACACAAATTAAATCACTGCACACAGAAATATAAAAAAATAAATGCTGGTCATGTACCTATGCTTAGTTAGCTTATGTTGCTATTGCTTACAAAAGGTGAAAATGTGAACTTTTAAGTAAAATTTTGAAGTGGTTTTAACCACTAGGATTCGAACCCGGGACCTCTCGAGTCGGCGACGCCATGAAACCCGGCGTACTAACCACTCGGCCACGGAGGTCGTCATTACATTACATTCACGTACGTCCGTCACTATATTATTATGCACATTTAGAATAAAAATTGACATTTGAAATCGGTGCCATGCCATAGCCGATAAAAGATCAATTGTTGCCATTTGATACTTTGGGTTGGCTCTGACTTCTTTACAGCCTAAATATTATTTCTTTAGTTTTAGTTAGTTTTGTTTTTTGAAAGGTCGTATTTTCGTCATTCAAGCATGTCTGTTTGGCAGAGCGATGTCGTACGAGGGGAGGTCAATAAGTTCGCGGAATGGAGGGGCTGGTGGTGGTAGGTTTACTCGTCCCGATAGGCACTAGTTGAGTACCTCATTAAGAGTATTATACCAAGTCTGAACCTAATCGGGTCATTAACTTTTGAGTTATCAACCTGCAAACAACTGAATCGGGAAGAAGTCAGCCAGTATGGAGAAAATTGAACAGCGCGCCGTTAAGTTCCTTACCAAGCAAGAAAAATCCACTCAGATTGTTTTACAGGAGCTGTGGACGGTTTACGGACTTTGCCCCTGGTAAAACCATGGTTTATAAGTGGCATGGTCTTTTCAAACAAGGAAGAGAGTCCATTGAAGATGACCCCCACTCCGGACGAACATTTGAGGCCACCACACCGGAAATCGTCGAAAAATTTTAAAAACTTGTATTGGAAGATGCCCGGTTGAAGAAGCAGCTTGCAGCAATGATTGGAGTATGCCAAACAAGTATTTTGAATATTCTACATCATCATCTTGGGATAACTAAGGTCAGTGCAAGATGGGTTCCGAGAATGCTCACAAACGCGAGCGTGTCGAGTGTTCTCGCCAGTTTTTGGAGCTCTGTGGAGAGAGAAAAGAAGAAGTTATGGCCCGAATCGTTACTGGTGATGAAACCTGGGTTCACTACTATGAACCTGAATCAAAGTAAGAGTCGATGCAGTGGCATAAAAAAGACACACCTCTTCCAAAGAAGTTCGAAGTGACACAATCAGCTGGCAAGATCATGGCGACTGTCTTTTGGGATACAGAAGGTATTTTACTGATCGATTATAAAGAACGTGGTGTGACTATAACGGGACAGTACTATGCTTCTTTACTGGAAAGATTGAAAGAAGCCATCAAGGAAAAAAGAAGAGGAAAGCCGTCAAAAGGTGTGCTCATTCTGCACGACAATGCACCCGTTCACACGTGCCATGTTGCTACGGCTGCCATTAACCGATGTGACTTCAAACAATAGCTAGTTGACCCTTTTTGGAAAAAGGTTTTAAATGGTTAATAAATGTTATATTAGACCGAAAAAAAATGTATTGTATTTTTTTGAGACCTAAAAAGCTACAAATCTTTAATTTTAAAATAGATTTTTCATGGACATACAAAAACGCTGTCGGCCATTTTAGTCTATAGATTACCTATGCTATGACGTTAACTGCAGTAAACAAAAACTCGTAAGCACGTAGAAAATAACTTATTTGAGTTTATAATAAAAAAAACATGATTTCTAATAAATACCACGAAAAATAAAGTAATCCAGAAAGTAGTTGCTTGGGTGCAGAGGTGTCGGTGTTGGTTTTGTGTGCTTTTATTTTATTTTCACCGAAACTATTTTCTCTCTCATTAATTTATCAATAATCATTATTGTATTGTACGAGAATATAAAACACATCCTTTAAGACTCCAGGAAAGTTGTGGATTAAAGTGCCGAAAGAAATTAACCTACGCAACTTTATTACACTTATTCATATGTTGTATCAGTTTTATGTTTATTGCTACATTGTAATACTAAATACACTGTACTTACATAGATGCCTTGTCGTTTCTCTGCTCCGCAGAGCAGAAATCGGGGTTTAGTGCAATAAATTAACCAACCATCAATGCGTCAATTCTTGGCAGATTTGTGCTTTCTGTTTTCACAAAGCCGACATCAAAATTATTTTTTTCAAAAAAAAACAGTAAATGGATACTTTTCTAAAGTTAAAAGTGTTTTAAGATAAATTTAGTCAGACGTAAGAATCCACCCACAGAAACACGCGAATGACATTTAGTTGTTTACCATAAGAGACGTCACAATCATGGCGGATGTGGCGAACAGCGTTATAAGTGTTTAAAAAATATAGACTAAAAAATATTTTTTAAAATTAAATTTCTACAGCAATCTTCTGTTTTTATGAAGTGAAATCGATATATTTCGGTTCCTTAGACCAAATACTTTAAGAAATAAACATTTATCTAATACAATTCGACATGAGTCAACTAGCCTATTGAACCACCCACCCTACAGTCCAGACATGGCACCCAGTGACTATTATTTATTTCCAAAAATGAAGAAAAAGCTGCGTAGAAAAATAAATGACGACGATGAAGAAGTGAAGTCCGCAATTTCGGCCTATTTTGACACCAAAGACAAATCATTTTTTTTCCGATGGTATAAACAAGTTACTTGAGAGAACTGAAAAATGTATTAGTATTAAGGGAGAATATATTAAAAAGGAAAAATAGTTTGGTGTTTAATTTCCTCCTTCCCACTTATTCCGCGAACTTTTTGACCTATGTCGCAATAAGAATAAAAAAATATATTCTTTACTTCTAAAGTTCTATTGTGTTATAAAATTGATCACCATAAGTACCTATTACAAATGTTTTAAGAGATAATAATAATTTTAAGGATAATCGGCTGCTATATAAAATTTATTGAATCCTCAATGGCATGCGCAGACGGACGATACACTAAACCAATTGTCCGTGGACATTTTGTCCATTAAAATAAATCTATTTAATTATTAAGCAATCGCTTACAACTGCATCGGGCATCGCAGACGAGGGATCAAAAGTACCGCGAACAAAAAGTCCCTAGGACAACCAAGGGACAAGATAACAGTACACGGAAATAGAACTCGTGTGACTAGGCGCAGCAACGCACACAGCTAATTTGTTTGCGTTGATCTTCTTTTTTAAAGAAAAGGATCAGTGTTCTCTTTTAGAACGTGTTCTCTTTTTGTTTAACTTCTTGTTAATTACAACACAATGTAATCTGAGGATAT